TGGCGGTGATGGTGGACGACGGTGGTGGTGATGGTGGACGGTGGTGGTGGTGAAGAGGAGTAGAAGAAAAAAATGGAGAAGATGTTAGAAGACATGTTAATGTCTTCTCCAAGAAGAGGGCAGGAAGACCTTTTTGAGTGAAATGTCTTCCAAAAAACAAACAATCTGCAGAGCTCAGCATCTGCGCGCGTCTGCGTGGCGCAGACAAAAGAGGCCAGAAGCTCTTCTGGCCAAAAAACAAACACCCCCATAGTAAAACTCATTCAAAAGAGATACGAAGTTGCTCTGAATGAGTTTCAGAGGGCTTCGTACCTTATCTTGCAGGTGACGGATCCGCTTGGTACGTAGTGGGTTTAGTACGCCCCGCCAAAACAGCTCCGAAACAAACAAAGAGGTGCAGCGCAGCCAAAATAGAAAATGGAACAACACAGGGTACGAATCAAAGAGAAGAGCACGAATTCAAAGTCCATTCAACCGATCCATGAACAGGATCACTTCTCATCGATCTTTGCGATTTGTAAGGTAGCCGTATATCTCCGAGGCTAAAGTCGGATTTAAAATCCATGGCTGGGCGATAGATTTGTGCGAAGATTTTTATTAATAAAAAAATGAAATCCATCAAAATCTATCTATGATAAAAACCCTTTTAATTTTTGAATGTATTTTGACAGACGATTTAAAATCCAAACTAAATACTCTTAGATCTATTTTTTTTTAAAATCTCAATGGAATACCATTGGCTTCTAAAATGTGAAAAAATCTCATAGAAACTGAATTGAATACACCTTTCCCTTTCTAAATCATGATGAATATGTGATTCTTAACCCGAATCCGAATCCGAATTTAATCAAACCCAAAATAAACTAAAGTGACCTGAACCGGAGTGACGGAACTCACCTCAACCATTTGCCAACTCTACAACAAATATCCGGAACCAACAATAGGCATCCCTTAATTACCTCTACCGTCTTTCGTTCTCAAAACCCAATACACAAAATTCGAAACCAGCAATACAATACACATGCACAAAACAAAGAAGCATCGGAGGAGGAAGATGATGGAGTGGGTGGTTTGTGGGCTCAAAACAACAAGGCCACCAAAAATGCAGCGGCACTCAGGGTGGCAGCCACCGGGGAGGAAGCTGAGTTGACTTGGCTCGGTGACGGGGAGCTAGCAGCCGGTGCGGTGGCAGATGCCGCCGGAGTTACTGTTGGAGCAGAATTTATTCCCGGCGACGCCGATGGAGCTGCACAAACAAAAGACAAGCCCGAGTCACGAAGGCTTCGAGAGGTGAAGGGGAGGAGATAAACACATCAGGATCAACTAGGGTTTCATAAAATCAGATTTGAAATTCGAAAACGAAACCGGGGAGCTTATCACAGTAAAGAATTCAGTCAAGAGCAGATCTGGTACGTACCGGCTGAAGGAGAAGGGAAAAAATTGCCGCTTGCTGCAAATTTTTTCACGAATCCAAAGCAACGAGCAAGTTAGGGTTTCAGACATTAAAGCAGTGAAATCGATTGATTTAAGAAAAGGAAGACAGAGAATCAGATCCCGGTTTCAATTTGAAACCGATTTAACAAGTTAGGGTTTCAAATTTTAAAGCTGAAATCCAAGTGATTGATTTAAGAAGAAGATAGACAGAGAGATAGAAAAGCAGATCTCACGGATGCAGTTCTTAACGGAGGAGGGGGCAGTAACATTGCAAGCAGTGGGGAGAGTCACGGCCTTGGTGAGGTTCAGAGAAACACCGAGCCCGGTGTTCTTGAACCCCTCGCACAGGCAATCCGGGTTTGCTTTCAGCACCGTTTTCAGCCCGGAACAGCAGGACTTGTCCGGCTTCGGGACCGTGCTGCCATTGGTGACGAAAGAGAGACAATCAGCCAGTTTCATGATGACGCTGCTGCAATCCGCCGCCGGCGCCGGCGCCATATGATGGGCCGAGTCCGCGGCGATTGCCCACACCGCCAGGATGCCCACTGCCAGGGGAACGATCGTGTTCAAACCCAGTCCCATTTCTGCAGTGATAGCGTGAAATCCGCACAGAGGATTTTTAGGACGACGACGCTGGATAAAAAGAAACGATTAGAGTGAGATGTGGCCGGCGGGGAGCGGTTTTATATTGTGAAAAGACTAAAATTGGAATAAAAGATTGACAGCAAATTCTTTGGTTTTAGCACAATTCAAAATTAAATATATACCATAATAGAAATTTCATAATTTTTTTTCATCTCAAAGTAAGTGTTAAAATACATTTATAGAATCAATCATGATTATATATATTACCAAAGTGTACAGTGTCACATTACCAAAGTACAAACTTCTATTTAAGAGATAAAAACATCGAATTTTTATTTTGATATTTTCTCTATGTTTTATTCATATTTAGAATGATTTGTTTTCTTACATACATAACAACCAGAGATGGTGAATGGGTTGGGCCGGTTGTGGTTTGGGCTTCGAAAATTGTGTGAACATGGTTAATGGAGGCCCACGTGATTGATGATTTTTATCACACAGAAGTTACTTGGGTTTCGCTTGACATCAATGTTAGATATTAGCGTTGACATTTTAAAAACAAAAATTCTACGGGTACACCAAATGTTGTACCCCATTTGTAGTCATCCATCTCCACCATACAAATGCAAGAGAGAAAAAAAATTAAAAATGAAAAAAGAAAATCAATAGTTAGGATGAATGAGATACTCCTAGCATTCCTGTTTTTAAAAAAAACTATCTGGCGATAGCTATTGACATTTTCAAATTTAATGTACACCATAATTTTTTTATTCAAAATGATACCGGTATTCGAAAACATTGTTCTCAAACAAGGCCTTACTACGCCAAATCTCCTAATTCTAACCTCTAATCTTAATCCTAATTCTAAGGAGTCCATGTCAGCAAAGTCCACATCACCATGAAAGTATTTGCCTAAAATGAGATTTTTTATATTTTATATATATCAAAATAAGATTTGTATTACCAAACAATGTATACACATAATCTAATAAAATATTGTGAAATGCCATCACAAAATGTTAAATTGTCATCACTCTTATTTTGTTTCATATTGGAGGATGAATCTTACTCGTATTTTAGTAGTGACTTGTAGTCTCTAAAATGACAATGAATCAAATTAAATATACTTTTTCAAAAACTTGTGGTCAAAGAATGTCACTGTTTGATCAAAACAAATCAAAACATGAAAGATTTTTGGGACTGGAGAGATTACATTTAAGTATTTAAAATTCTAAATAAAATGATTATAAAAAAAAAGTTAGTATTGATTTAAAAATACTCCCTCCGTCCCTAAATAGATTACAATTTTTTTTCTCTCATCTCGATAACTTTTGTTTGTTTACGCGATTTCATTAAGTATTTGATAAAATGAAATATTCTTGTTACCTCTTGTTTTGTAGAACTTTTGACGTAGTTTTTTAATATGTAATTTTTATATCTTATTGATATACCAAATTGTAAATAAAATGATTTCAATAAGTAGAAAACTTTATTTCGTAACCTGCAATTTATAATCAAATTGGGAACGGAGGGAGTATAAGTAGTCCGTACATGAAAAAAATAGGCTTAGGACCAGCACAGAGCTTTTTAGGTAGACAATGTCAGTATTTTAGTATTTTATCTTACTCTCTCAAATGTGAAAATTGATTTTTTTTGGACCATGATTTAGTATTTTAGTATTTTAAGCTATGCTTTTCATTCTTTCATTTCAATTTTTTTTTTCTTTTTCAAAAAAGAATTAAAAAGAAAGCCAAGTGAAATGATTGTATAGGCGACATGATCGTGGATGTGTTCATATTTGAAAGCATAATCATTAGGTCCAATTACACTTTTAAAAAAAGAAGCTACAATTACAACCAAAATTATAATTACGCTCCTTGAAAATGATGGCTAACGCACTCCCGCGCTTTTTACATACAAAAATTGCCTCAAAATTGAAATTGTGATAATGAGTAATGATGACTCAGCTCGAGAATGTATTGTCCACAAGGTCAACCCGGTTCTCGGGATGTTTTGGATTTTTAATTCAAGATTTATAAAAATGGACGAGAATAACTTCAGCCAAACATTTTTTATATAAATGATTTGAAAATAACTTCAGCCAAATATCGTAAACCGAAATAGACAAATTAAATGAAGACAGAGGGAGTATTATTTTAATTTTTTAGATTGTATACTTTTATGTAGATAAGTTTGATTTGAAAATAAATCTCAACCAAACATGTAAAGTGATATGGAATATTAGACAAAAAATCAACCATGCTGGGTGTACACCAAGGATTTGCACCGAGATGACTCACATTGGCACAGAGTGTCCATGCAAAAGTTTGTGAGCACACTAACATTTTATGTCATTGTGTCATCGGAGTGTTGGTGCGAACCCTTAGTGTACAACTTGGTATGCACTAGTGTCATGGAGTCCTGACTTTGTTGTTCCGCTCTTGTTGATGTAAAGATTTATTTTGTTTGCCTAAAAAAAAGATTTGCCGTTTGATCTCCATTAAAAGGCAAAAATATTCATTGAGTGGGTTTGATGAAAATCATTTGCCACTAACAATACATGGTTAGCATGTCCTTAATTACAAAAGGCTTTAAAACACAACCAAATAAAGTGCAAAATGATTATTTCAATTAAACTTGCTCAATGAATACTTTTGTCTTATGGAAAACAAACGCCATATATGATTTTGTTTTGATTTTGAATACATATAGGCTATAGCTCAATTGATTGGCAATGCCCATCGATATACCAGGTCCAACACAACCCCACATGAACACTTTGCCCATTCTGCTTGTATTTAGGCATTGCACCCGTCTATGAGTAAATTGATTTGAATAATTTCTAGAAGAAAATGACAATTTTTTATCAATATTTACAACATGAGCTTTGATAGTTCTCGGTGTCTGTTTTCCTTCAAATGTTCTTAATGCGTTGAACTGCTTTTGAGCCTTCTGGTCGCAGGATGAAATGCCTTCCAGTCGTCCAAAGATGGGTTTCTACCGAAACTTTAAAGTAGCTAGCTCACGCAAGCCGATCGACGACCAAAAAGGCAGAAGCAGCTCAATGCAAAGAGAACATTTCGAAAGAATACATCTGAAAATTATAAAAGCTTATGTTGCAAACATTGACAAGAAAATGCAAGCCTTTTTAGAAACTATGTCAATCAATTTACTAGTAGGTTGGTGCAGCGCCTTAATAAAAGCCTGGCAGGCAAAGTGTTCATATGGGGTTGTGCTCGACCTGGTATATTGATAGACATTGGTGACGACTGAGCCATAAGTATTCAAAATCAAAAGAACAATCAGATATGGCGTCTCACCTCCATACGAAGACAAAAGTATTCATTAAGTGGGTTTAAGGAAAGTATTCTACATACCAACCAAACATCTTGACTACTACTAGTTCTAGACTTCTTTTACTTGCTACTAATAGTTGTTACTTTAGTATGGGTGTTGGACTAGACACACAATAACAGACACACTATCACGCCTTCCACCAGTTTGGCCGATGTATCCAGCCGCTTCGGCGGCATCGCAAAATGGGCTCCTCTTCCTCCCGCTACCTGCACCGCCAACCTCTTGTGCTCTTGTGCCCAATGCTTCCGCGATTTGCTGTCACAATATTGGTTACAACTTACAACTTTGGATATCATATACTTCTTTTGTCTCACGATAAGGCTCCACACTTGATCTAACATTGTTCTTAAGATAAGTAAAACTTTGTGGTCCAGATAGGCCTATCAATGGCACGAATTTAGACCTAAACCCGATACTTATTTTGTAGATATTGGGTTTGGATCACTCTTTTCCAGGCCGGACTAGACCTTGTGTAATACCTCGTATCAAGATGGGAATGGGAAGAGCTCAAAAGGATTGATAGTACTACTCATACCAACAAGGTGCATCTTCTTTTCGAGAGCTCATCACCTAAAAACTCCAAGGTTAAGCGTGCTTGACCTGGAGCAATTTTAGGATGGGTGACCCCTGGGAAATTCCTTGGGCGCGCACGAGTGAGGACAAAGTGCGCGGGAAAGACGTGTGTTGGTTTGTGGGGCCAGTCTACAATCCTATGAGCGGACACTTACGGCCAGGGTGGGTGGGGCTGGGGTGTTACACCTTGACCCGATATAAATGAAGGGGAATTTACTTAAATAACACTAAAACATAATGATTTTCCTTAAATAGCATCACATGTGTTTTTTTCAATGTAGCGCTTTTACTCATTATTCATTAGTCATTATTGAAGTAAATTTTTGCCATCATTGGACATTATGGACATTATTAAATGTTATTTAGAGAATAAAACAGTTTAAGTGTTCTTTAGGAAAATTACTTAAGTTTTAGTGATATTTACTGCAAATATTTCATAAATGAATAATGATTTTAAATATTTTAAAGAGATTGTAGAAATAAAGTAATGTATTTTTGCTTTCACATATTTAATTAGAAAGTAAAGATTTATAATTATACTAAAATACACCATAACTAGTATGAAAATTCATATTTGTTTATTAAAATAACATTTTTGTGTATTATTTAAATTTAAAAAAAAAATTATTTTAGAATAATACTCCATAATATTGAATAAAAAATTAAACTTCTTTAGTTTTTTTCCAAAACAAATAACTAAATGTATAAAAAGCTTAATAACTTAAAGAATGTAACTATTTATATCCCGTTATATATCTCGTAAAAATGAGATCAAAATATGTGTTGCAAAAAAAAACACTCAACCGCCTAGATTCAGACCCGATCCGACCAAGACCGAACAAGTCCAAGTCTACAAATGGTAGACCCGGCGGGTCTCGGGTACATGTCGGGTTCAATTATTTTTTAATCGGTACATGTCCGGAACCATCAGTCCCGATCCAAACCTGATCCATCGACATGCCTAGGTCAAGATTTAGGCAAAGTGATGAGAAATATTCCCTCTGTCCGAATTCAGTTGGCCACTTTTTTCCATTTCTTTGAAATAAGTTGTCCACTTTCCACATTCAAGTACGAAAGTATGATGAATTGTATAAAACATATTAGAGATAGGGTATGAGCATTGTTAACATCGACAAAATTGTTTTAATGACTTATTTGACAGTGTAAACTCATTTCTTAAAATGATACTCCGTATTTTTTTTAAAAAAAGTGAACAGCTAAACCCGACCGAAGAGAGTAATATGAACTACATGACTTAAAGAAAAGTGGAACCTGGGGTGTTTTGTTAGCTTCCAAAGACGAGGCCACAATTGATGTAATTTCTTGTGGATACAAATTGTCAAAAAGGCCATCTGTTGCAGTGACCACTACGTCCCCTTCTTCTAACTCACTTTTGTATTCCTGATTATTCAAAAAAAGAGAAAAAACGGAGTCAAATTCAAACAACTCACTCAACAAGTTGGAAATATAAACTCTATCCGCCCCTAAATCAAGTTTAGGGTTTGACTTCACAAAGTTTAAGAAATAAAATGCGGTTGAAATTTGTTTAGAAGATAGAAAAATTGTGAGCCGCGCCGTTCCTTAATAAGAAATTAAGAAAGTATAAACTTTATTTTGGGACATTCAAAAAAGAAACTGTGAAGTATATTAGAAGAAGCAGAAAGTATATACTCCATATATTTTACTTCCCCCGCCTCAATATAATTGTCTGACTTTCTTTTTTGGGAATTCAAGAATTGGTTGTTCAACTCGAGTTTCTATAGTTGGAGGATATAACTACATGCCTATAAAGGTATATTAGCATATAACAAACACTTACATTATGTTTGGTTCAAGAAATTTGAAAGGAAAAAGAAAAGAAAATGAGATCGAAAACATTTTTTCTTGTTTGGTTAGAGAGGAAAAGAAATGAAAAGACAACGTGAACTAAGAGGAGGGAAAATAAAATTCCTCCCATTTTAGTGAAAAAATAAGAGAAAACCATTTTCTTTCATAATTCTTTGAACCAAAGATGGTGTTAGGGTGAATATTACTCCAAATACTTCGTTACGTGTAATAAAAACACGCATAGATACATAGTGACAATTTTTGTCAAATTATGGCCAACTATTTTTTACCTGCACTATTCCAGATGGATCGCAATCCCTCCCTATTAGAATAGGGAAATTGAACTCATGGAGCATTGGATCTGACATTTTATAGACCACTCCATTCCTTATGATCATAAATCCAGAGTCTCCAATATTAGCCACATGGAGAACCTGCAAAACCATTTCTTTTTACCATGGCCAAACATGAATCTTTTACTCTAGTTCGTAGCAATTGCACGTGCTTTCTATGCATTGGGTTTGGTTGGTAGTGAAAATATGTGTAAGTTAGGGAAAAGATATGCGTGCACACACCCTATCTACTTGTGGGATATCACTGGGTTTGTTGTTGGTGTGTCCAAACAAGAATCTTGTTTTTTGGGATGAATGTAATATTTGATTTCATTACATATTTACATGCTTATTGCAACCTACCAAACTAAACCTTACTGTAAGCCATTTTAGTACGCGCTAGCGAAAACTATCATGATGTGAAAACCTTTTTATTTAATCAAAGAGGACTCAGGCGAAATTTGTACCCGGCCATCAAAGTGCGCAATCAAAGCTGTAGAAGATCCAGGGGACTCTACTTTTTGTATGCTCAGTTCAAGAACAGCCTTAGGGTCAGTTCCTAAGTTCTGCAACACAGCCTTTTCACAGTACCGCATCAGTTCTCTGGAATATACTCCTGGGACAGTACCTGAAGAGAAATGGACTGAGGGCCCGTTTGGTGACTACTCAAATGAATGTATTGGCTGAATGAAGTCATGTTCCGGCGATTGATTCTGATGGAATGACTGGTTGGTTTTGAAATTACCTAAAAGGGTACGTGACATTTTTTGTCGTTCGGGGCAAGACAAGAAAATAGGGCAAAATTGACATTTGCTTGTAAAAATGAGATTTTGTTGTTGAAAATCCAAATCAACCAAATGATGGGGCGTTTGGTGTTTTGGCAAATTTTCAAGGTATATCAGCCTATATGAGCATACCAAACTGGACTTACGGAAAATTGTGGTAAATAATGATAACACGAATAGTATGCAAAAAA